CTGGCTGCTATGCTCCACTTCTTTCTGTTGCAGCGGTTAGAGTTGAACCCTTTGTGTCTCTCTGGGAAGATGTTCTGCTCCTGAATCAGCTGGGTGGGTCTTGCCTCTAGACTCTTTGCAGGGAGTTCTGCTGAAGGGTTCCCTGCAGGGCCTGCAGCCTGGGTCAAATGAGGATCCCGCAGCACCGGTCGTCTTACTCACTTGCCGGGGCCTGTGCTCTGGGTCTGTTCAGGATCCCGTGGCCTGGGTCCTCTCACTCACTCGCTGGGCCTGCACTCTGGGTCTCTTCAGGACCCCGCGGCCCCGGGTAGTCTCACTCACTCGCTGGGCCTGCGCTCTGGGTCTGTTCAGGATCTGGAGGACCCCAGGTCATCTCACTCACTGGCTGGGCCTGCGCTCTGGGTCTGTTCAGGATCCCACAGGCCCCGGTCGTCTCCTAAAAATTTTATTTATTTATTTATTTATTTATGTGTGTGTGTGTGTGTGTGTGTGTGTGTGTGTGTGTGTGGCCAGCTCAGCCCACCAGGGGGCTGGGCTGGCTGGCATGTGGTGCTGGGGGATTGAACTGTGGTCCTTGTGCTTTGCTAAGCTTGTTCTAAGTTGGTGCTCCAGAACACTGAGCCATCTCACCAGCCCCAAGATGCTATTTTTAATCTTTATTTTAAAAATAAGTAAATACATAGATATTTGGAGAAAAGTAGAGTCTCTCTTACTTTAGCATGACTCCCACAGACGTAGTCACTCAGCAGGATGACAGTTAAAGTTCCACAATGCAAAGGCACAGGCAACAAATGACAGCAAAATATAACAGCAAAACATGAGCTGAGGCCTCACACAGACCACACACACTGAAACTGACACATCAGAAGATGTGTGGTATGGAGCGTATGAGGGAACTGTTCATTTATTTTTCTCATTTATGTATTTGGTACAGGGTCTCACTGCACAGCTCGGACTTGTAGTGATTCTCCTGTTTTCAGCTTCCAAAGCACTGGGATTACAGGTGTGTGCCACCACATAGGTCACCAGGTCAGCGCACCTTGTGGGTGGGGTTGGTGCAGCATTAGGACCAGGGATCGAACCCTGGTTCCTGCGATTGGCAAAGCAGGTCCTTAGTCCACTGAGCTATCTCACCCAACTGAGGAACTCTTTAAAGAAAAAAAACAATATGCTTCTCTGGAATCATATCAAGAGATACAACAGAAGGCGCCATCTTGAAAGCAGAGAACAGATTTGCTGACCAACCAAATCTGGGGTGACTTGATCTTGGACTTCAAGCCCCAAGACTGAAAAGAAATTATTTTCTTATAAATTACGTTATGCAGTCTGAGGGTCTTGTCATATCACACAAATGGACTAGGATACTTTCCCAAAATAATTAATGAAAAAGTAAGTAAAGTATCTATAAGGAGATAGATGATTTGAACAATACTTTGAAACAACTTGATCTAACCAACACTTACAGAAAATTATATATAACTGAGAATATATATTCGTTTTATACCTGCATGAGACTTTTACCAAGGGAAGATTTTAAGTCATAAAATAATTTCTAATAAACATGTAATTTTTTAAAGGTTTGTGATAGTCTTTCCTAAATCTGAACATTCAACCATAAGTGAAATTAACCTTGGCAACATAGATGTCAGAGAGT